TTATTCTGGTCGAATAGGCTCTTCAACTATTCTCGTGACTTAGCTGTTGTAAACCATGCTGCAGTAAGCGTTGGGGTATATATACTTTTTCTGCTGATGTTTCCTATTTTTTGAACCTGGGGCGGGGGTGGGGGCGGAGAGAGGGTTGGTGGGTTATGTGGAACTATTGTCAGCTGCTTGAAAAGGTTCTGGACCATGCTCCAAAATGGCAGAACTAGTTTAGATTTCCACCGGCCGTGTACAAGAGTTCCTCCCCCCCACCCCCAGCCTCTCCAGCCCTTGTTGTAATTGCTACTTCCGGTGTGAGCTGCTTTCACAGATGAGAGGTAGAGCATGTCCCTGTAGCTTTCGTCGGTATTTCTTCTATAATCGGGACATCTTCGCACGTGTCTCTGTGCCAGCTGGAGAATGTCCTCTCAGAAGCGTCTGTTCACATCTTTGCCCTGTTTCACTGGGGACTAGTAGTTTTCATGACTCGGGTCTTCTACCCTTTGAAAACATCTAAACACTTTTATCACACTGCCTAGGAGGATCAATAAGCATACATATCAACAACTACTGAAATACAGCAACCACTGAAAAATGCAACTACTGAAAATTACAAATCAAGCAGCAGCAAGGGGCTATTCTCCGAGCTGCCGGCGGAGAGCCGCACTCTCATTCAAGCACGGCAGGAAGTCAGTTTGAACATGGCCTGTGAAAAGTATTTTGGCAATACAGAGTGAGCACCTCGAAAATACTCACTTTTGGAGCACACTGATTGCCCTTTCAGAAATCTCTCCTAAGGAAATTTCGAGAAATGCTTTTCCTCAACTATTTGGATATAATCTGAATGCCCAGAATGCGGGGAATGAATGTGTAAATCATGGCCCATCCCTATGGAGGGCTCTTGTATGGCTCTGTAAAATTACATGACCAAGATTATCTGGGGGCCGGAGCTAGAGTGCAGTGGGTTAGGCACTTATTTTCCTTGCACAGACAGACCCGGGTTCTATCCTTGGTGTCCCATAGAGTCCCCTGAGCCCTGCCAGGAATGATCTCTGAACCGAGTCAGGAATAAGCCCTGCACATTGCTGGGTATGGCAAAAAAAAAAAAAAAACAACTAATAATATATGGAGAAATGTTTGTGAAGTAAGAGGAAGTGAAGAAAGAATCAGAATTGTAGATGCAGCTGGTTAGTTCTCTGTCTTTGTGTACACACATTGCACAAAGCAAAGAAAGCGCTAGGGGAAAAAAAAAACACGCCTGCAAGCTAGAGGGAACACTGTTACCCCCGGGGCCCTTTGGATCATGGGCTTATTGATGATGTTGTTTGATTGTTGTAGCGGACTTCTGATCCCCTCCCCCCATTTTTTCCATGATTATGTAACTTTATAACTGAATTGGGGGAGGCACTCACCGCATAAATTCTAAAACCGGGAGCTGTTGCGAGCCTCCCACTTTGCTGTCCGGGGTGGGGTGGGCGTTGGCTTGGCTTAGACATCTGTGCCAGGATGGGCGCCGCCCGGGCACGTGTCCTGCAGGCGTGTCTCAGAGGAAGCCTTTTCCTCTCCCTGGGGGACGCGGGAGACCTGGGCCTCTGGTCCAGCAGCCCAGAGGAACACTAATTCCCCGAGCCCAGAGGAACACTAATTCTGCAAGCTAGAAATCTCTCCCCAGTTTGCAGTCAGCAAGGAGAGGTGGTTTAGAAACTGCCGCTGTGTGCCAGTGGCCGCCCACTGCCGCCCCCCTCCCCCCCAGAGTCCATCCTGGGAGCCTTCTCCTACTTCTCTGATCAGCAGACGGTCGCCACAGCAAGCAGGGGAGGGAAGGGAGGAGATCTGCTCCCAGCATCTCTTCTTCTTACTAAAACCGCCTTCTGTGCTTGCCTGCTGGCTGCTAGGAGACTAGGAGACGGGAGCCCCAGCCCCGCAGTCAGAACCGGCTGATTCTGTGCCCGTATTGGGCGTGGGCACAAGCCTGGTCTCTGGAGTCCACAATCAAGTTGCTCTTCAGAGACTCGCGGCTTTCTGTCCTCTTTGCGGAGAGAGCACCATCCTAGCCACCTGACCAGGGCCAAGAGGCAGCCCTGGATCCCCGGGGGCTTCCCCAGTAGATCAGCCCACCCCCGGGAACTGGTTCCAGCTCAGGCGAGCTTGAGCCACATCGTGGTTGGTATATTCCTTGGATACAATGATTTATTTTTTTCAAGAGATACTTTTTTTTTTAATTTTCCCCTTATACTTTATATGAGTGCTGTGGTTTACAAAGTTGTTCTTGATGGTTTGTTGCAGCATTCGGTATTCCAACACCAGTTCCACCACCTTGACACCTTCCCTCCACCATTGTCTCCAATTTTCCCAACCACTTCCTGAAGCCTGCCGCCCTAGCAGGCCCTCAGTAATTTATTTTATATGGTTTGTTATCAATCATTTGCCAACAGGATGATCAATCAATATTTCCTTAGGAGAAAGTGAGTGGAGATTGTTGTATCTCACCGTGGCATACAATGATTTTTAAAAATTTATTTTTACTTTTGTTTGTTTGTTTTGGGGGACCCACCTGGCTGTGCCCAGGGCTTACTCCTGGCTCTGCGCTTAGGGATCACTCCTGGCAGGCTCAGGGGACAATATGGGGTGCAGGGGATCTAACCGAAGTCAGATGTGTGCAAGGCAAGCCCCCTGCCCACTGTAGTATCTCTCCAGCCCTTACTGGGGTTTAGTCTGTCCTTTGTTTTTCCTACAACCACCCTCTTCTCCCTGCGCTCAACGCTGTCCTTCCTCTTTCCCTCCCTTCCTCCTTTTCTTCCTTCCTTCCCCAAAAGAAATGACCGGTAGGCATCAATTACATCAGGGCGACCCAAAGGAGGAAGAAAACCCAAGGACATGAGCCCTGGGTTTGATCCCAAGCACCACCGGAGCCACCTCCAAGCACCACAGGACGTGGCCCTAACTTCTAAAGGGGAAAACAAAGTACTGCCGACCCCCGTCCCCCCGTCCCCCCCAAGCAATCGCGTCCCACCCGCAGAGGTGGGACTGGAAGAGGAAGAAGAAAGCCTTACTTGGAAGCAAACAGCACCAATTGGTGGGCATGAAAGGGACCCTCCCCGCTAGCGCCCCCTGCAGGCAGAGGCCCTGCCTAACGCCCCTCCCTGCGATGGGCCGAGCCCGAGGCCTATGCTGGCCTCGCAGTTTCACTGGCCTGCACCGCCCCCTGCTGTCCGTAGTCACTATGACACATGCCTCTGCGTTGCTCACGTCCCAGTTTGCCTCCAAGTACGATTTGGAGGACCGAGGGACACGGGTCGCGAATCCGAGCCATGCACTTGGGTTCCAGGACTGGCGTGAGCGGTCGGGGGATGCAGCTGAAGAAGTGGGTGGTCGCTCTCTCCTGGTAACTGCTGCTGAAGCCCAGCGTGGGCCCTTCGGAAGGAGGCCCCGGGATCGTCTCCGAAGGTGCTGCCTGCCACCTTTCACAGGTGCAGGTCGGCTGCGGATGGAGCCGGCAGCCCTGCGAGGGAGCCCTCAGTGTGCGTTCCGGCGCGGGGCCCCCGGTGGCCCCTGAAAGTGGTGCAGGAACCGACGGAACTAACGGGAGGCTGTCAGCAGGCCCCGGCTGTGCCTGGCCCGGGTTCTGAGTCCAGCGGCAGAGGCAGGTTTAGGTCGTGGGGATCCGTCACGCTTTGCTTTTGAGTACTTGTGTTGTGTGTTGTACTTCATTTAACAGGTGCAGGGAGGCAGAGAGACCGAGACAAAGGGAGGGGAGGGAAGAGGCGGAACAGAGCGGCTGGACGGGAATAGAATGGCCAGGTCCAGCAGCCTGCAGTTCTGCTTGCGCCCGGAAGGTGGCGGCGTTGGGCCGCTGGGAACCCGGAGCGCCCAGACCAGGATGCTCGGGTTCCCCCTGCCTCACCCCAGCCCCTCCTGGAGGGGTTTTCCGCTGGTCCTGATCTCCTGTCGGCTTTCTCCTGGGGATCCAGATCCTCCCCCTTCCTGCTTCCACCCCTCCATCCAACTCTCATGCACTCCTGTCTATCCACCCATCTGTGCTGTGACCGTGTCCTGAAGAGCCTGGGGCCAGAATAAGAGGGCAGCCCCTTCCCACTCGGGATGGACGAGTGGTCACTGTGCAGCGTGGCCAGGGAACCTTGTCCTGCTGTGCCCAGCGGTGGGGTCACCCAGGACAGCGGGCAACTGTTGTGTGAAGGTCAGGGCACACCCAGAGGAGCCCTATGGGGAGTCTTGGGTACCCTGGGAGTCCAGGCAGAGAGCACCAGGGAGCACCCAGGGGCAACCCGAGCAGGCGAGAGTGCAGGGAGTGTCGGGGGAGTCCAGGAAGGCGAGGCAGGCACACGCTCAGTCCGAGCATCCTGAGGAAAGTGCAGGCCAGCACCCGGGGAGCACCCACAGCACCCGCCTGGGCCCCTCCTGAGTGGTCTCTGGGTGTCATGTGTGATGTGGCAGGATTACCTCTGCCGGACTGCTGGGTCCCTCATACCTGCCGGCGGGAACAAACGCAGGAGATACTGTCTGGGAACTTGTCTCACGTCAACTGCAGCCCGGAGGGATACCAGCACCGCAACTCCCCCCTCCCCCCAACCCCGCACCCTGGGACTTTGCTGTGGGACGCTTGAGGGAGGTGGGGGAAGGCAGCTTTTTGAGCCCCAGGAGCTCATTGCTGAGGTGGGTTTCCAGCTGCAACGGCAGGGTGGTGGCTTTGCATGTGTTCACGCCTGTGGATTCCTTCCGAGTTAAGTGTGTCGTGCTGGGCCCCGCAGCGTCCAATGACAGCATAATCTGAATGAGGTCTTCAACGCCCCTCCTGTCTCCACCTGGATGGTAACTGTTGTATGGTGTTTTCCCCACCTTGGAAAATACCCTCAGGTCCTACCACCCAGATTCAGATACGAGCTCACACCCAGCCCTCACACCTCTGGGGATGCACGGGGCCATTTTCTGGATGCTTCGGACCCCTGCCCCAACCACTTCCTTCTCTCCCCCCACCCTCTGTGTCTCCTCAGAGAACCTTTCCATAAGCTGCTGGCGCAAGGCCTCATCAAGGGGCAGACGTTCCGCCTCCCGTCTGGACAGTATCTTCGGAGAGAGGAAGTTGATGTCACAGGTGAGAGAATAATGATAATAATAATAATAATAATAATCAGAACTTGGAGGACCAGGGAGATAGGTCAAAGGGCTGAGCATGTGTTTTGCATGCAGGAGGCCCTGGTATCACATGGTCCCTGAGAATCTCCAAATGTGACCCCTCCCCCACCTCCCAATTTAAAAAGTCGGAGTTTTCCTCTCTGGTAGCATAGAATCAACTCAGGCCTCCCCTCCATCCTCGCCCAGGTTTGAGAGCCCACTCCAGAGACAGGACAGAGCCCCTGGACCCCAGAGGCATCCTCCCTGGCCTGCGGTGTCTCCATGTCCCCCCGCCTCCACATATGTGGCTGAGAAGTGCATTTCTGGACCTCAATTCGGAAGAAATTTCCACACCTAATTCCCTGCCCCCCCCTGCAGCTGCCCCACCCTGCCCCCACTCCCAGGATCTCCAGGTCATCTTCCCCCCCCCCCCCCCACCTACCTGCACTGTCTTCTCTCCTCCTGCTCCAGCTTTAGGTGGTCTGAGGATGGACTGTGCATCCCCAGTGTGCATATGAAGTGCATGGCATGTCAGACACGGGGCAGAGGCAGGAGGAGGTGTGGGAAGGCCCAGTACTCGGCATCTCAGCCCAGAAACAACAGCACAGGGTGGTAGGGAAGCCCCACAACCCCCAGCATCGAGCCTTCCAGAGGACAGGGGTCAGAGAGGGGTCAGAACCACCCGTGAAGGTGGCACCAGTGGCTGGAAGGGTCGTGTGGTCTTTGGGAGGGAGAGACAAGGAAACCTGTCCTGGCACTGCTGCCCAGCAGGGACACAGCAGGCAGAGCCCGGGGGGGCCTGACCCAGGGGACCCTGACCCAGGGGTGTCTGACCCAGGGGGACCTGACCCAGGGGAGCCTGACCCAGGAGTTGCCACCAGCAGCTGTTGGTGAATGCCATGCGCTGGGGAGGGGGCACTGCCAAATGTTGGGTTGACGGCACTGCCCCAGGCCTGAAATCTGCTCCCCTGCCACAGAGCCTCTTTGGGCCATGCCTGCTGGGAGAGGCCCCATGCTTCTAACCTCTCACCGCTGCCCAGAAGGAGGCTTTTCCTAATCCAGACCCCAGTGCACCCCGACCAGCTCTGTTGTGTTGGGGACGGGGGGAAGGAGGGTGCTTTTTTCTTGTTGGGGTGTAGGGTGGGTTGCAGTGCCGGGAGTGAGCCCACGGCTTTCCTGGCGAGGCATGTGCGCGGCCACCCGGCCACGTCTCTGGGTTCTAGTAAATCATTCTTAACTAAAGTGGGCACCCAGGTTGCTTTAGTCTCGATGCTCCCACACGCAAGTAATGAACCATGGTGTGGTGTGAACATACACCCGTAAGCCCCAGGGAAATAGCAGCTCCGTGGTGCAGCTTGCCTGCCCATGAGCTCTGCTTTCTCGTGGCGGGACCCAGAGTGCTGCGTCGCCCAGGCGCGCCTGTGTTTTCTGGGTGACGTCAGTCTCCCAGGGCCATTTCAGAACCGCTCTCCCCACGCGCGCTCTCGGTGCCTAGGTCCCGTGCCCGTTCACGCACGAACGAGGGAGCCGCTGGAGGTGACGTGGGAGAAGATGAGCAAGTCCAAGCACAACGGGGTGGACCCCGAGGAGGTGGTGGAGCAGTACGGCGTCGACACCATCCGGCTCTACCTCCTCTTCGCCGCCCCCCCGGAGAAGGACATCCTGTGGGACGTGAAGAGTAAGTCACTTCCTCCCCCTGAACTGCCTACCCTTGGACAGAATTCAGGCCTCTGTGCAGTTGCCAGTCCTAAACGCAGTTCCACGAAGCCAGCAGCAGTTTGCGCGGCGGCCTCGAGAGCGCTCAGATCCGTGCTGGTGGGGCAGGGAAGCCTGTAGCCATGGCGGCATTCCCACGCTTGCCCCAGGCCCGCCAGCACCGCCCCCTGACTTCTGCGGGGTCTCTGAGGACCCCACTCTCAGGGTGATTTCCTCAGAGCATCTCCGGGATGAGCTGTGTCCTTTTCTAGGATAAAGCCAGTACCCTCCCTCGCCAATCCAGAAAACCCCATGTGGACCTGGTCCTGTTGCGACCCATGACCTCTATGGTCATCCACAGCAAACCCCAGAGCCCCCTAGTCAGGTTTGTGTGGTGGGGGGTGGGAGGTCTTGTCTCCCCCACCCCCACCCCCTGCCTCCAACTTATTGAGATTTCATGTAGTATGAGGCAAAGTTATCTTGGGCTTCTGGGTGTCTGGAAATTAACTGTCCCCCAGTCCCTATTCCGGGGCGGAGGGTACTGCCCTAATTGTCATCCTGGGGTCACTGAGTGCTTCTGCAAACCATATCCGGGGAGGAACGACATCATCACATCCTTCCCCTGGGCCACTTTTGGGCTAGCTGCCTCAGAGCCCCTGGAGACGTCCATGGTACAGGTTCTGGTGCCATCCCTGCCCACAGGATGAGCTGCAGGGGCCTTTTTCTTACATGCCTTCCAGAAGGTCCTGCCATGCAGCCCAGCTGCCTCTGGTGCGTGTCCTGGCTCCCACTCTCAGGCCCACTGGACCCCAGGATTCTGCCCTTGGCTCTGTCAGACAGGCTCTGAGACACAGCACTTCGGGCCAGCAGGTGGGCGCCTCTGGTCTGCCCCACGGGTGCACTGTCTGGCGTGTTTTTGGCTTGGGTGCAGGGGTCCCCTGTATCTCCAGATTTCAGTCAGCTGAGGTTTGAAAATACGGTGGACAATGCGTTGCGAGAGGGGGCACATTCCCCATTCCAGGGGGTCATTACAGTTCTGTTTTGCCGTTAGTTTATTGTTGCTCACCACTATCTGATTCCGAAAGGAGATTCTGAAAAACTATTTTCTCCCCCTCCCCCCCCGCCCCTTCCTTTATTTCTGCAACGGGGCTGCACGGCTGGTCATGTGCTCACATGCTTTAGTTGTGGTGTCCAAGCACATTGTCCTCCGGGGCGTGAACACTTGACTGTGGGGCATTAGACACGGGGACCCTGAGAGCAGAGCCGCCAGGATCGCCCTTGGTCCGGTCTGCGGGGCAGTGCTAGGGGGTGAACTCTAGACCTTGTCGGTCTCGCCCTTGGAGGCAGGAGCTGACCACTGAGCTTCCCCCAAGCTCTTGAAGATCAGGTTCTCTCACAGAGGTCCAGCACGCAAAGGAGAAGGCAGAGTGAATTCAGGGCCCAAGAGGCCCCTCCCCGGGTCTTGGCATGGGCACTGCAGAGAAGCAGACCTACTCAACAGCCAAACGAGTGACTCTCCTTGTGTGCCTCTTCTTCCCTCTCAGCCGATGCGCTCCCCGGGGTGCTGCGGTGGCAGCAGCGTCTGTGGTCCTTGGTGACCCGGTTCATCGAGGCCCGAACTTCCGGGGAGGTGCCCCAGCCGCCACTGCTGACTAGCCAGGAGAAAGCCAAGGCCAAGAAGCTCTGGGAGTACAAGAACTCGGTCATCTCTCAGGTCAGTCGCTCTCTGGGAGCCCCAGCACAGTATGTCGTCGAGCCGCTCGTGTCTCTGGCCCCCGGGCTGTGTGGACCTCCAGGGCCTGCTTCCACTCAGACGCTGGCACCCCCGTGGCCATGGTTACCGGGGCTTTCCCACCATGGAGCAGAGGACAAATAGCTCTTGGGGAAAAGTTCCTATCACCCTGGCTTTTGTGGATCCACCCCAGAGCCCGGGAAGCTCCCCACACCCCTCTTCTTGGCACATCCGGGCACAGAACTCAGCTACACGCTACACAGGTTACGGCCACAGAGACGAACCTGTGGGGGTGGGCAGGGGGAAAAATCCTCTTCTTTGGCCTCTTGTTTTATAGATGGGGATGGAGATGAGGCACAGGGGGGCTCGGTGTCTGCCAGGGTTTGCACTCCGTGATTTTGCTACATGATACCCTGGGGAGTTCATATGAATTCAGTTTTTCCAGGGGGATGTTTATATTAATACTGCTGTCTGTGTTAACACTATCGACTGAGTCATTTTAAAGATATTCTTCAGGGGTAGATGAGGGGAGAGGAGAGATAGCACAGTGGGTAGGGTGGTTCCCTTGGACACAGACAAGGTTCAATCCCCAGCATACCATATGGCCCCACCAGGAGTAATTCCTGAGTGCAGATTCAGGAGTAGCTCCTGAGCACCACCAGGTCTGGCTCAAAAAACTGTCACTGCCACTGTCACTGTCCTCCCATTGATCATCAATTTACTCGAGTGGGCACCAGCAACGTCTCCATTGTGAGACTTGTTGTTACTGTTTTTGGCATATCAAATACGCTACAGGGAGCTTGCCAGGCTCTGCCGTGTGGGCGGAATACTCTTGGTAGCTTGCCGGGCTCTCTGAGAAGGGTGGAGGAATTGAACCCAGTCGGCCGCATGCAAGGCAAACCCCCTACCCGCTGTGCTATCACTCCAGCCCTAGAGAAAGAAGTGGGCAAATAATTCTGCATACCTTAGTAATCCTAAGGTATCACCCAACTAACTATTCAGATCATGTTCTTAGTACTCAAATTAGACTATACTGGGTTCTAAACCCACTATCCATCAAGGATATAGAATTTGATTGTTAAGACACTTCAAATTCTGGGATGATAGCTATCTCACATGATATAATATGACAACATTGCATATTTTAAATTCCAAACCTAAAAGTAGAGATCTTGTTTTTTTTGTTTTGTAAAGCATAGCTGTGGGAAAAAAAGGCACAGAAGCTTAAAACTAAATTTTCTGCACAACATGCCTATATGAAAAAGCAAAAAGAATAAAAAAAAACACTAGACTAAGAACTTTTGCTTATTGGTTCTGTCAGCTAATATCTCTGTATTCTTGAGTCTCCGCTTCTTTACCTATAAAATGCAGCTAGCCACCACAACCTGCAAGACTATGTGGGAACGTTCTTTTAAAAAGATAATTATCCAGAAAAGATAGAAATGAGTGGTGAAGAGGGACTCAATGTTTTTAAGTACATCTTGGTACTAAAAATTATGCAAAGAAAGCCAATGTAGTTTTTTTTTTAAATAAATAAATAAATCTTCATACTTATAAAATCATGTGGCAACTTGGCAAAAACTGAAAAACACCTTAAAGAGAACTGTGAATCTGGTTTTGAATCTATATCAAATTATATTTAGGTAAAAATCCTAGTTGTATGTTACAAAACTGATGGTTTATTGAACATTATCTGACCTCATTTTGTGTGTCTTCAAATGAAAGGGAGGTGGAAGAGCACTCACCTTGATTTTAAGTCTTCATTATCTGTGCTTATCCAGAGACTTATGAGTGGATGGCCCAAAAAACAAAGCAAAAGAAATCTTCTTGGAGGCCAGAGAGTTATCACAGGCGCTTGCTTTGCTCACGGCCAACCCGGGTTCAGTCTCCAGTATGGTCCCCTGAGCACCACAAGAAGTAATCACTGAGCACAGAGTCAGGAGTAGCTCCTGAGCATCACCAGGTGTGGCCCAAAAAAATAAATAAATAAATCTTCATGGATTACAAATCCTTAAAAATATTTTATCTTGAAGTCTGCTATAGCATCCCCTTATAAAAAGTAAAGTAAAGTAAAGGCCCTCCCATTGATCGTCGATTTGCTCGAGCGGGCCCAGTAACGTCTCCATTGGAGACTTTGTTGTTACTGTGTCTGGCATATCGCGTACGTCACGGGGAGCTTGCCAGGCTCTGCCGTGCGGGCGAGATACTCTCGGTAGCTTGCCGGGCTCTCCGAGAGGGGCGGAGGAATCGAACTCGGGTCGGCCATGTTGGCCGCTTGTAAGGCGAATGCCCTACCCGCTGTGCTATCGCTCCAGCCCAGCATCCCCTTATAATATCCCTTTTTAAGAACTTGGTGGGTGGGTGGGTGGGTGGGGCGTGGGGTATATCATATCTTGGGACGAAGGCATTTAGGAATTTAATACCTTTTGGGGGTTGGAGGGGCAAACCCAGTGGTGCTGGGGGGTTAACTCCTGGCTCTGTACTCAGGAATCACTCCTAGTTGATGCTCAGAGGACCACAAGCACCCTACTTACTGTACTATCTCTCCAGTCCCACTAAGCCTTTCTTTTTTTTTTTAATTGGCCACTCGATTCCCCATCGCTCCCTTGGGTGGTTTGTTCAACAGATTTGCTGATTCAGACTCCCCAAGTCAGCCCATCTGTACCTGGGCTTTGGCTGCTTGAGAGCCTCAGTTGCCTGCACTCTGCCTCTCTGATTTGTGGACCCAAAGCGGCCCCAGTTCCAGCCTGCCCTCCGTCAGTGACACTCCTTCACTTTATTTCCGTCCTCCACAGCAGAGCAAATCAGCAGCTCCCTGAATTACACTGGGCGATCTGAGTGATGCCCGAATGATTGTTTTCATGCTGAATATTTTCTCTCCGGATTTGGCCAGTTCCTGGGTTCTGCCAGATAATAGAACTGGGTTATTGCAACAAGTTGAGAAACTCTTGGCATCTTAAAGATGTGTGATTCTTCCATCTCTTTTAGCTGGGTCAGCATAGAAATTGCACACACAGGAGAAAGCTGACAGGCTATGCTGCAGTTCGTAGGTCAGCTCCACATTTCCAAGAGGGAGATGGCCCTTGGCCACATGCGGAAGACCTGTGAGGTGTGGTCTCAGAGCCATGGAGAAGGCACCTCCCAGCCCCCTCTCCTCTTTTTTGCTTTTTTTTTTTTTTAACAAAGTATATAGATGCCATTTATTTGGTTTGTAGTATAGAGTAGTGAGTCTTACAGAACATGGAATATAAAGAACATGAAACTTTACACAGAAATTTTCTTCTTACACAGACATACCAGGCAGTATAAGCTGAAAACCTGAGTAAATTAACATTATTTCACATTAATATACATAGCACCAGATAATATTTTTATTATTTTAATAGTTTCCATGCATTAACATCAATACTTCTTTTAATCTATTTCAGTCAGTTATGAGTATGAAAATGGTTATATCTAGGCTAAAAATAATTCTTCATAATATTTATAACCATAATAGCACTCTCCTCCAGCTGTTCATCGATTTGCTCAAGCGGGCCCAGTAATGTCTCCATTGTGAGACTTATTGTTACTGTGTTTGGCATATCGGATACATCACAGGGAGCTTGCCAGGCTTTGCCATGCGGGCAAGATACCCTCGGTAGATAACCATAATAATTAACAGTATTTATAACCAGGTATCACCTTTACCAAATCTCAATGTTTTAAAATTATTAAATGGTCCTGAAGGGTATTTAAATTAGAATGGCAACACCATGCCTTGCTTTGATTCCTCTCATCCATGACCAAGTGATGCACACTTGCTCTAAGGGCTTTAAAATCATCTTACATGCAAACAGAACTGTGATGTTTCTGATGGGTCTAGCAAAACAAATGCTTTTGAAGGGAGCAGAAGTGTCTTCAAGTCACTGGTATCATTTTTTCCCCTTTGGAACAAAAGATCTAAACAGAGAACCGGGCTCTGCCCCATGTCCTGGTGCAGTAAGAGGGTGGCTATGTCCTGTTGGCTTTTGTTTTGACCTTTTGCTCTGAGCGGGTCCTGCGTCCTCTCCAGGTATTTTCTTAAGCACCTGCTGGGACCCCAGGTGTGACAGAGGAGGACTGGTCTGGAGGAGGAATAACGCTGACCTTGATTTTTTTTTTTAAATCCTCATGCGATTGAAATGCAGTTCAAGTGAGTGAAGATGTTCATAAATCTCTTCGATGACATTCATTTTATTACAGTTAATTGTTAGATAAAGGCAAGTCTCTGGAAAGTGGAAGGGTGTTTTGACACAAGTGACTGAAGCCGCTTTTGCCAGCAGGTGACCGCCCACTTCACAGAGGACTTTTCCCTCAACTCGGCCATTTCTCAGCTCATGGGACTCAGCTCGGCACTGATGGTGAGTGGCCTGTGGTCTGCCCTTATCACGGGCTGGAGGCAGAGGAGAGGGAGATTCCAGGCACATGGTGAGTTTGCCCAGGGCAGGAACAGCGTGGGCGTCCCCCCACCCCTCCTCCCTTAGTGCGACTCTGTTCCCTCACAACAGCATCATGCCTCCCAAATCAGGGTTGCCTTGGACCGCCTCAGGTCTGTCTCAGGTGCCACATTTCCAGGGGAGGACCCTGGGCCCAGACGGACTCCGTGTCTGGTCTGGGCGGGCAGTGACAGATGCCAGAGCCCTTAGCTCCTACTCTGTGTTTGGCTTCATCCTCAGCACAGGAGCAGTGGGCGAGTGTGTTCGCCATAGGGCCAGGTGGTTCAGGTGCCCCTTCTGATCGTGCCCCTGTAGCAGGGGACAGTTCTTTGTCCTGGGCAGTGAACGGTGCCACCAGATTCCAGTTCCTGGGACACCTCGGGGGACCCCTGCCATGGCGTGCTACAGTGCGCTGACCCTGCTGCTCTCTCCCCACCCAGCAAGCCTCGCAAAGGCTCGTGCTCCACAGCCCCGAGTTTGAGGATGCCCTGTGTGCGCTGCTGGTGATGGCCGCTCCCATGGCCCCCCACGTCACGTCGGAACTCTGGGCAGGTAGGTGCAGCGTCATGCCAAGAGCACCCGGCACGCAGGTGTCCGTAGCCCTGGCGACAGGGTGGGTGCAGGGAGAGGGGTCCAGCCCTGGCCTTTGACCCACAGCTCTTATGTTCTGAAGGGTGGTCCTGTGTCTCCCGTGAGGTCACCCTGGCCTTAGGGAAAGACAGCCCAACCTTTCCTAACTCAGCCTCCCGGTACCCACATGTCACCGCTCCATGTTATCTTTCAGGGGTGGAGATGTCTGTGAGCTCTCAGCCTCTGGGAGGCTGGGGCAGGTCTCAGACATGCCCCATTCTGGCCATGACTCTGTCCTCTCTAAACCTCACACTGATCGGTGGGTGGGTGTCACCACAGGAGGCTTGTGGGAGGCCATGTGTGCCTCCACCCACTCATCCTCTGGGCAGTCTCAGTTCTGGAGCTCTGAGAAATGGCGGGACAGCCCTTGTGACCAGCTCCTGACAGACCAGGCTCCAGCGACAGAGTCAGACAGGGGCTCACTATACTGGGTCTGTCTTGGCCAGTCTCTTGCGCATGTTCAACGGTCCCCCATTAGAAATTCCAAAGGCTGTCATCAGACACATCTGCTCCTTCTTCTTTGAAGAATTGATTAGGAACTTGCTTGGAGCAACCATTTCATTAGCTTTCTGTTTTCTTCTTTTCCTTTTTTCTCATCTCTTTTTGTTGTTGTTGTTTATTTTTGTAATTGTTTTGGGGCCACACCCAGTAGTGCTCAGGGCTTGCTCTGGGCTCTGCACTCAGGGAGCACTCTTGGCAAGGCTCGTGTGACCAAATGTGGTGCCAGAGACAATCCCAGGTCGGTTACATGCCAGACAAATATCCTGCCCATTGTACTGTGTCTCCAACCTCATCTATTTTTGTTTTTAATTTTAATGCAAACATGGTATTAATTTTAGTACAAACCTTTTTATATAAAACTTGAGATTTATAGGCTTCCTGTAAAGGTAGCCTATAGCTCAAAAAAAATAAAAAAGAATTCATTGGCTGCTAATTCATTCATTCCAGCTGATTCTCTTTCCACTCAAGAAAGCTAGTGCAGAGTTGGTGACTGGAACAGTCCCTGCCACCCACCAAGTCCTGGACGTTGGCAGGTGCCCTACCCCATGGCTTCCCCATGACCCAGATGTGAAACTGGATGGGAAGTGAGAGGGCTCTGTGGGAAGCCTCATGATGGCCTGGCCCTCCAAACCCATCCTCACAGCTCTCCTGAAACCGGTGTGGACATTTTAGGCTGGCATGGTCGAGACAGGCACCCAAGAATGCCACCCTGAGGAGCAGCAGTCCTCACCACCATCCTTTCCCAACACCTCGGCTGAATGCCACGAAATGAGCACTATGATCACTTAACTGCTGACAGAACCGCTGACTGGGCACTCACTTGTATGGTCTTTAAAAGACAGAAGTGAGGTAGAAGGACAAGAAGGAAGTGGTGGCATTTGTCCTGTCTGGTGGGAGGCTTTAAATGAGAAACCTATTGGCTGCTAGTCCTGTGAACCTATGGCCCATACTTCTGCTTGCATGGCACCCCCTCCCCTAGTGTGTGTGCGTGCGCACACACTCACACATACACACACACACACACACACACACACACACACACACACTGTACCTGGCACGGGCTCTCTCTTTTCAAAAACCTTTGTGTTCACTGCTGGTGTCTATCTGTCTGTTTACGTGGTGACTCTTTTAAGTACGGAAACTCTGTTCTCCTTAAGATCTAAAGATTTCTCTTTCTAAGAAGTCCGCCTTTGTGCCTCTGACTTTTCAGTTTTTGTATCGGTGTGGCCCATGAAGAGCCCCTTCTGTACAGACGTCCACTGTAGACCTCAGTCCTTCCCCAGCTTTGGGCTTTAAAGGGTCTGAGCAGGCGTGGGTGAAGGTCCAGAAGACCTTTCTGTTTGGGCAGGTGGGGAGCCTAGAATTCTCACCGCATAAAGTACAATTGTGCCTGAGAAAGAATCAGAAACATACTCAATCCTCAAGTTGGCATCGGGTGTTGAGGATCAGCATCCGGTTTGTTGTCTCAGTGAATTATGTTCATTGATTTGCATATGTTGAACCATCCTTGCATCCCTAGGATGAATTCCACTTGATCTGGGTGAATGATTGTTGTGATACGTTGTTGGATTTGGTTAGCTAAGATTTTGTTAAGGACTTTTGCATCAATTCTCATCAGGGAGATTGATCTAAGAAATTTTCTTTTCTGGAAGTGTCTCTGTCTGCTTTAGGTATTAGATGATTTGTTGTCCAGAATCAGCAAAGCATTGCTTGACTGCTGGGTGAGTCCAGATGGCTGTGGAAATAGCTCATCGTGGGGCTGGAGCCATAGTGATAGCAGAGCAGGTAGGGCATTTGCCTTGCACACAGCTGACCCGGGTTTGATTCCCAGCATCCCATATGGTCCCCCAAGCACTGCCAGGAGTGATTCCTGAGTGCATGAGCCAGGAATAACCCCTGAGCATCGCCAGATGTGACCCAAAAAGCAAAAGAAAAACAAGAAATTGCTCATCGGAAGTCAGTGCACTTGACTTGGCAGTTCCATGCCATGAAGGCTCACTCCCGGTGGAGCTCAGTGATGTGGTGTCACAAAGAAGCCCCAGTATAAGGCCAAGGGAAGCGTGAACTAGAGGGTCCTGGAAGTGAGAGGCAGGAGACAGGTGGAGAGTGTCAGGCTTCCAGTGATGCTGTGTTATTAGCACCCACATCTGTCAGAAAAGTGTGTTTATGTTCTTCCATTATAAAAGATCGTACTCTTAAAAAAAGAAAAAGTTGTAAAAGATAATTGGCTTATGTTAATTTTTTGGAAATGGACACATGCTTCGTTCTGTAAGAAAACTAATCTCATTTGTGGGGTTGTTTGGTTTGGTTTTCAGGCCACACCTGGCTCTGTGCTCAGGGGTCACTCCTGGTAGTACTCGAGGGACTATATGCAGTGCCAGGAATCAAACCAAGATCAGCCGCGTGTAAGAAATGTGCTCTACCCACTGTCCTACCTGTCTAGCCCCAAGCTGATCCGATTTGTATTAAATGTATGTACTCACTCTCCGACTCGGGCTTGCTTCACTCTTTCTCGTCTTCTGCCCCACATCATCATCCTGCCTCCTGCGTTCCCAGCCCTCCTTGGAAGGACTCGTGTCAGTGGAGCTCCCAGATACTCTCTCCCGACAGGCCCCTGCACCTCTGTGTGTCAGGGCAGAGGGTTCAGAACCGTCTGGCTGGCATCCCTCCGGTAGATCTACCCTTCTGTTGTGTCACAAGCACTCCCTCAGGATGAGTTCTGAAACAATGTGATATCATCCTGGGAGGGGGGTTGGGTGGACACAGCGTTTAGTTCCAGAGCCTTGTTTACTCCTTCATTTCCAGGAGGGCACTCTGAGCTGATGGCATCGTAGTCTGTTCATTTCCTCCTGCACAAAGCTCTTCCCTCAAGCTTTACAAATCCGTAATAACTAGGGCTGCAGGGTAATACAGGGTAAGTTACTTGCCTTGGGTGCAGTTGTCACCATTTACGGTTCCCGAGCCAGGGGTCACTCCTGAGGACAGCTGGATATGGCCCAACCCCCATTGTCCTCCCTCCAAAATAACTACCACAAAAAATATTGTTTAATTTAGAGAAACAGTAGGGGAACCTTTGTCTCCTGACTCTTAGTGTATATTTGGGTGACATAAATATCCTCTGACTGGCAGTTACTCACCAAGCACGTCACCCTAGTGAGTGATTGTCCAGTCACAGATGTTGGTTCAGCAGAGGATGGGGACCGGGTCCCTTCCTGCCTCTCCACACTGTCTGTGAGAGATGCCATTTCTCTCCTATACTGTTCATCACTTACTCCAAGCCTTTGGACAGTTGTCACAGTGGGTTTTTTTTAATCATTATTATTATTATTATTTTAGGAAACTTATCTTTCTGGTTTCATTTCCTGATTTTTAAAAGACAACCTCAAATCTTTGGAAGGAATATCTAGGGTGAAGTGATCAGAACAGAGAGCTCCCCGGGAAGGCAGGTTCTTTGTGGAGAGTCTCTCACAGAGTTGAGACTGGTCTGCTAAGGGAGGTTTGGAGCTCTGTTTCTTGCTGGCTAAAAACAAGCCTATCCCAGAATCCCCAAATACTTGGAGGCAAGTAACCTCTATCCTTCACATCAAGAGTAAGTATGAGATCGTCAGTGAAAAGCAGAATCCAAGTCCTTGGCTGACACTAACAGGGTGAGGAAATCTTTTTTTCACCTTCCTCAAGCTTTTGGGTCTGGAGACCCCAATTCTGAATTGACAAAGTTAATCGTTTACTGAAAATAGATGATTGTCCCATTCAGATTAGGGTGTTAGCTGCTTGCTGGGAACAATTCTGCAAGTTTGGAGTCGGGCACAAGGTTTCCTTTATAGCCGTCAGAGCAGAAAACCACCAAGCTGGAAGCAGCTGAGGTTCTCAGGTTGAAGATACCACTTCAGCGTCAGAGATGACCCGGGGGTTTCTCAAGGGAGTTCTGCTGAACCAAGAAAGTCCATCTCAAAAGGCGGTTACTCGAAATAACATTCTTGAAATAACCAGATTATAGAGCTGGAAAACACATCGTGGTTGCCAGACTGCGCACAGGGTGTGGTGGCACCCGGGAACACGGGGAGCCTTGTAGTGGGCCTTGTAGTGGTCTCTTAAGTGGGTCTTGACTGTGCTCATAGCTTCATGAAACCACCAGGGCGCCCACACACAAACCAGCCTTCACAAGACCGATCACAGAAGTTCTGTGGAGTGTCCCCAGGTCAGCGTCCTGGTCAGAATGTGCTAGAATCATTCCATGAAGGGAAGAATACACGTGGCTTCCTATACATTTCCCTGCAACTTCACGTGGATCTGTATTTTCCTTTTTTTGGCTTTTTTGGCTTTTTTGGATCATATACAATGATACTCAGGGGTTACTCCTGGCTCTGCACTCAGGAATTACTCCTGGCGTTGCCGGGTTGAGGGTAGAGGGGGCCCATATA